AGTGGCCCACTCCTCCCAAAGAAATGGAGATGTGGGAGAGATTTCCCTGGTGGTCCAGTGGTTAGAACTTTGTCTTGCAATGCAGGAGGTGCAGTTTGACCCCTGGTCAGGGAGCTAAGATGCCACATGCCTTGTGGCCAAAAACCCAAAACATAAAGCCAAAGCAATATTCTAACAAATTCAATAAAGACTTTAAAAATGGTCCACATCAAAACAAACAAACAAACAAAAAAACAAAAAAAAAAACCCTAGAGCCTATTACACAGAGTGAAGTGAATCGGAAAGAGAAAACATATCATAATTAATGCATATATATGGAATCTAGAAAGACGGTACTGATGAACCTATTTGCAGGGCAGCAGTGGAGATGCAGACGTAGGGAACAGACTTGTGGACCCAGGGAGAGAAGGGGAGGGTAGGATGATTCGCGAGAGTAGCATGGAAATATGTACATTACCATATGTAAAACAGATAGCCAGTGGGGATTCGCTGTAAGTCTCAGGGAGCTCAAATTGGTGCTCTGTGACAACCTAGGTGATGGGATGGGGTGGGAGGTGGGAGGGAAGACCAAGAGGGAGGGGACATATGTATACCTGTGGCTGACTCATTTGATGTATGGCAGAAACCAACACTGTAAAACAATTATCCTTCAATTAAAAATTTTAATTTCAAAAAAATGGAGAAGAGGAAAGAAACAGAGATGAAACAAAAAATGGCAAAATATTGATAATTATTGAAGCTAAGAGATGATTACATAGGGAGGGGGGCTATTTTTTTCCTACTTTTGTAAATATTTGAAAATTTTCCATAATGGTAAGAAGAAATATATGTTCCTCTCTGATGTCTTGCTGCTACTGCCTCATCTTCTGAAATTGTAAATCTCAACGCCTGGCTCTTTTAGAAACCAATGACCATGCAGGGGGGAAAAAAAAAAAATGACACTAGCATTTCATATGAAAGGCAAGATGTCTGAGTTCACGCATAAGTTCACATTCACAAGAAATGCTTACTAGTGGCATCTGTCTGGACATAGATGATGTCACTCTTGGCCCCGTATGTACGGCGTTCATCAGAAAAAGTGACCAGGGTCTTGACAAAGATGGCATACTGGGTCCAGGGCTTGAGACCACGCATCAGCCACCCAGGGTGGTTCTGTGACTTGGGGTCGTTGGACCTCGTAGGCGGGTCAATATCCACCACTGTCCAGCTATTGGAGCCGCATGCATCCTGCCCGTCGAATTCTGTCACGTTCTGGTAAGGGCTGTCAAGACCAAACAGGTAAAGATGGTTACCACTCCTTGAGTGTAGCTCTAAAGACCAGAGAGATGTGACTGGGGAAAGTTACCTCCTACAGGCTTGCACCCTGCTCACCAACAATCTTCTGCCACAAGGAGAAAGGACACAGAAACATTCAAAGAGAAAGGGATCGCTTCCTCTATGTCTCAATTTCCCAGTAATAATAATAATAATAGTGATCACGATGATGATACTATCTGAGTTATTGATAAGATCACATGAGAAGATGTGGGCTGACTCCTCCACACACAGCCTGACACATAGTAAATCATAAGGGATGGAACAATTATCCATGTTAATATGATCACCACTTCCACTGTCTCCTTTTAAAACTCCAGCACAGTCATATACTCAAGGTGACTAGGTGTCATTGAATGACGACAGTATTTCAGCATAAGATGATGAATAAATTGTGGGGAGGGACAGTGATGATGGTCACAGAACATCATGAATATACTTAATGCCACTGAGCTGTACATTTAAACATTACTAAGATGATCAATTTCATGTTTGTTTTACCATAATTATTTGTGTTGGAAAAAATCCAAAATAGATTTAAAAATAAACTTTTTTAAAAAAAGACACCTACTAAGTAGATACCTACTAAATAGAAATACCTGCTAAGACACATACTAAGTAGACTTTTTAAAAAGACACCTCCTAAGTAGACTCAATCACTTTTTGTTGAGAATGTCTGGTGAGATGTACATACGAGGTGCAAAATGGGATATTTCTATAGGAGATTGCCCAATCTAGACCTTCAAAAGAAGCCTGCCTGCTTCAATTTCTGGCTTTCGACAATAAGAAATGTTATTGACGTTATACACCATCAACTGGTGAGATCCCACCAAGGGATCTGTGATATTTATTTCACAGATAAGAAGGAGATAGAAAGGAACCTCAGTGGGGGAACCTCTGAGCACAAATGTAACACACACATCTCTTTATCTTCCTACTTACGCCTCTTTGTAGAATAGCATGAACCCCAGGAGGTCTCGGAAGTCAGGAGGCCAATACGGCTCCCATTTCAGCAAGATCTTGTCGTAAGATGTCCGAATGTAAGAAAATTTAAGTAATTCATTTTCACCTAGAAAGGTTTAAAAAGAAAAAACCAAAACACCCAGTATCAGAATTTTAAATAATTTGTTTCAGCCCAAAGCAGGTGATCCCATACTTCCAAGAGAATCTGCAAGAAGATGGCAATCTGCTGTTTCCTGGTGAGGTCTCATGTCCACGTGCCTCTCCCTTGTTCAGAGGCAAGAACAGATCATATAGGTTGGCACCAACTGCAAGTCAATTACTTGACCCGATGCTCAACTAAAGAGCTGTGGTTGGCACCAACAGGGAAGGACAAGTGGCCAATTGGTGCTGGAAAAAGGCCATTTGAAGATTAACATTTGTCCTAACACAATTTGTCTTACATGTGGCTTTTCATGCCTGACATGTCAGAAAAAGTAACTTCAGTGCAAATGGATACAAGCTAACTGGGTTTAGAGAGAGCGCAGATCATTATATCTTGGAGGGAACACTTTTTGGAAAGACAATGCCTTGGAGACAGTAATTCCCTCTGCCTGGAATATAAGCCCTCCCTTAAGCTCCACCCCAACCTTGCTCTCTCCCTCCCCTGAATTCCCACAGTTTGGACCAAACTGTCTCATAACAAAACAGCTTCACATGAGGGTATCATGGAAGCCTTGGCACCTCAACGCTCAGCTATTTCTTGAAGAGAAAAACTCGTCATAGAAGGGTAGTCACCTCCCAGTCTCCAACTGTAGCAAGTGGAGAACTTTGCTGTAGCATTTGAGCAAAGGCCATACATATAAGGGAGATGACATTCATCCATCCATCCATTCATTCATTCAATGTTTATGTGGCATCTTCCAGCATCAGGCATTGTATTTGGTATTTGGCAAAGAGATTAACATGTACAACACTTGTCCTCAGTGTTTCAGAAAGTCTAACACACACTTAGCTGTTTTAGCTCACTGGGGGTAAGTGACACCCACCCTGGGTACCAGTGTGATGGGGGAGGCAGGGGAAGTCACATTATCTGGTCCATGAAAGGATGAGAGCATTGCCACTTACAGGACGCCTGGTCCCCATTGGTCTTTAGAGCAATGTCATTTCTCTCCTGGCGCCCCTTGGTTCCTGAAACTTCCTCCATTTTGTGAATTTCCGACAGGCAGAGTTTGGGGTTATAGTGGAAGAAGAGCTTCCCCTGGGTGATGGTGAGGTTGTGTTTGCTCCAGTCCCATAGCTGCCGTAGGTTCTGGTTGTCCAAGGCGTAGAAAGAGTAGTTCCTATGGAAACACACACACACCTAATCATTCATCAGCTCGTCACCTCCACCTTCAAAATGCTGGGACCATGACTGGAACTGACCTCATTCAGTGCTCCATCCCCAGTTCTAACCACTTGCTTGACACATACTCATCACGTGTTGAATGGAGGGTGAGGGGTATAGGGGAAGCTGAGGAGGTCTTCAAGGCCAGGAAGATACTTGAGATCAGTCTTGTAGGGGAGGAGGGCAAGACTGTGATGTATTGAGATATGCAATCCATGTCTCAAAAAGGAAAGACTGAAGGGCAAGACTGTGATGGATTGAAATATACAATTCATATCTCAAAAAGGAAAGATTGAAGACACAGAGGCACCTGAACTGGTCCCAGGGGAGAGCAAAGTAGCTTGTTCTGAACAACAGGTGAGAGGCAATCCTGAAGAGATACCTGGACCAAACTCTCCAGCATACTGCATGCTAGACCAAGACCAAGAACACATGTGCCTCCTCAGTAGACAGAGGGGGGCCACTGAAGGTTTTATAACAGCTCAGTAACTCAGGTACACCTACGCCTTAGAATTACGAGTGGGCCACCAGGACACGATGAACAGGAAACGGACAGCAGCTTGACCTGCGTTATCCAACACAGAAACCACCAGCCACGCTTGCCTACTGAGCCCCTGAAGCGTGGCCTTTCTGAACTGTATCAGAAGTAAAAACAAAAAACCCCCCACAAATTTCAAACACTTAGCGTGAAATAAAAGGATGTAAAAGATCCTATTTATCATTTTGTGATATTGAGTCCATGTCAAAATAACATTTCAGATTTAATGGGTTCAGTAAAATGCATTATTAAAGTTCATTCCACTTATTTCTTCTAAAGTTTTTAAAATGTAGCTACTAGAACATTTAAAGTCTCATATGTAACTTGCATTATATTTCTGTGGGATGACCCTAGTAGTTCTAGAACCAGCAAGGAGGTCATTGGAATAATCCAAATGAAAAGTGTGACCTTTGGCAAAAAAGGTAGTTTTATGGTTATATAATATTCCATTACATATACATACATACACACACACACACACATATATATGTGTATATATATATACACACACATCATGTTTTCTTTACCCATTCATCCATCAGTGGATACTTACAATGTNGAGGGATGGGATAAGGAGGGAGGGGGGAGGGGGGTTTGGGATGGGGGACACATGTACACCCGTGGCTGATTCATGTCAATGTATGGCAAAAATCATCACAAAATTGTAAAACAGTTAGCCTCCAGTTAAAATAAATAAATTAATGTTAAAAAATGGAAATGCCTGATGTCCCAGCTCAGCCCTGGATCCTCTTCCCTGCCCCTCTCCCTGTCCCCACCCCAAGATTCTTATTTTCCAAGCTGAGAGTTGGGACATCAGGCATTTCCATTTTTAAAAATTTATTTATTTTCATTGGAAGCTAATTACAATATTGTGATGGGTCCAGGACTGAGCTGTGAACCCCAAGTTTGGAAGCACATTGTTCCTTGCATGACTCCACTGATGGGTCTCCAAGCATTGTTCTGGTGTGCTCACAGGGAGAGTGGATCCCAGGAGGCGGCAAGCCCTCCCCCCAGAGCACTCACTGCCCCCTCGAATGTTGATGATTAAGCTTCCGTTGATGATGGTGCAGCCTCGGAGCTCCTGGGCAGATGTCACTGAATCAATGGTCTTCTCACCTTCCAGGAGGTGGCATACCTTGGGACAGGGGCCCAGGCAAGGGGTACACATCAAGCTGCATAAAGGGTGGAGAGAAAGATCAGGACACGCGCACACACACGCACACACACACACACACACACCAGAGAGCGTGCTGCACAGGGTCCCAAGTGACTATAAGGCAGAGCACTTCAACCACAGCACTGCTGACATTGAGGCTGGAGAATTCTCCATTGTTGGGGGCTGTCCTGCACATGAGGGGTGTGAAGCGGCATCCCCGCACTCCCATGCTATGCTAACACCACCTCCCATCCAAGGCATGACAGCCAAAAATGTCTCTGAACATTGTCCCCTGGGGAAGGAGGTGCAAAAAGCCCCCTCCAGATAAGAACCACTGTCTAAAGGGATAGGCTTAGCGCAATTCTCCAGATGACAGGTTCTACAGCATTACCCCAAGGTCAGGGTACTCATGCCAAAATGATGGGGCTCCTGCCTTACCCCAAAGAGAGGGGCTTCCCACTGTACCCCATGGAGAATCATGTTCTACCCTGGAGACAGAACTAACACTATTACAAGGAACTAATGGGACTCCTGACACAACCATAGTGACCAATTATGCAGAGCTAATAATTTTACCCCATAGTGGTACTCAGGCTGCTACTGCAAGGTGATGGGCTGTCTGCTGTTCTGTGTGGGGTCTGACCTTCCCTGGTGGCTCAGCTGGGAAAGAATCCACCCGCAATGCAAGAGACCTCGGTTCGATTCCTGGATCAGGAAAATCCACTGGAGAAGGGATAGGCTACCCATTCCAGTATTTTGGGGCTCCCCTGGTGGCTCAGTTGGTAAAGAGTCCATCTGCAATGAAGGAGACTGCCTGCAGTGCAGGAAGCCTGGGTTCGATTTCTGGGTTGGGAGGATCTCCTGGAGGAGGTCATGGCAACCCACTCCAGTACTCTTGCCTGGAGAATTCCATGGACAGAAGAGTGGTAGGTTACTGTCCACTGGATTGCAAAGAATCAGACACGACTGAAGTGACTTAGCAGGCATACACGCTGTGCAATAGAGATGATAAGAATATCTGCTTCACAGGGCAGGTGGTGATGAGGACTTAATGACTGAATGATATATGCCATCTAAAGTACTTTGCACATAGAAAACAAAATCCATTAGTCCTTTGCTATGATGATCACTTTTTACTAGTGGTTATCATTGCTACCCTTGTTATTTCTACACCTCTTCCTATTCTATTTTGCAGGAGGATCTTTGTCATGGTGGTATAATAAAGAACACATCTGGTGCCCAGCTCCTGGCACAGAGCTTCAACAGCCTTGGAATTTCCTGAGTGATAGAAACATCTTTGTTGTGCTAATGAAGCAGTGACCCCTAGTTGCTTCAGGATGAGGGCTGGTCACAAGAAAGATCAAATGTGTGATTTGGAGGGTTGCCTCATCGCTTTGACCTCCAGAGAGAGAAGGAGGCTGGAGATGGAGCTCAAATCCATGGCCAGTGATTCAATCGATCACAGCTATATAACAAAATCCCAAGAAAAACTCTGGATACCAACTCAGTCCATTTTTCTGGCTGGTGAGCACACAGCTGTGCTGTAAGGGTGATGCTTCTGATTCCACGAGGGGATGGGAGCCCTGGGTCTGGAGCTCTCCCAGCCCTCATCCTCTATGCCTCCTTAATAATAAAGCTATAATTGTAAGTGCCTGACACGAAGCTTTTTGACTGCTGAGGCATCTATTTCAAAAGACATCTGTCTTGAGTAAAATGTAATGAAAACAACTAGATAAGGAACAAGGCTGCCCCCACCCCTAGAAGGTCCCTCTTTCAGAAAGCCCTGAGGAACCTAGATAACTGACCACTTGACGGACACTGCCTCTCTCTTCCTGTGCCCAATTCCCGCTCTTGAGCTTTAAATTCACCAGAGTGAAGCCATCAAACCCCAGACACTCCGCCCTCAGACCCTAAGAAAAGCAGACCTCCCAAGGGCCACTTCCTCTCTTTCCCTTCCTCTCTCCCTCTCTTTTCCTCTCTCTCTCTGACTCTGTCTCTCTCTTTCCCCCTCTCTCTTTTCCTCTCTGTGTGTCTCTCTCCCTTCTTCCTTCTTCCTTCCCCCTTCCCACAACCTCACTGTGTGGCCCTCCAGGATCTGTGAATAACAAACCTTGTTCCTTAAAGTTCCCTGATGATTTCTTGCTGAAGCGCAACAGGAGTTGGCCCAGCCATAAATAGGGCCCCCCCCCTGGGGACAGTGTCTGCAGAGCTTGCTACAGGTGATGTGTGCTTAGGTGAGCTCCGTAGGCATCCCTAACCCAGGGTGCTACCATCCATAGGCTTGGACCAACAGCCTTTTTCTTTTAGTTCTGTGAGTTGCCCCAGCAAGTTATTGAATATCTCACTAAAGTGTACCCTACCATGTATCTCGGAGTGACCATGGATGGAATATAATGAACCCACATGGGTTCACAGTCCTCTGCTATAAAAACATCAAGAACGACTTCCCAGATAAAGCCACAAGAAAGAAAGAAAACATATCTGGCCCCATTTGATATCAAACCACATAAGAAAACATGACAGCACTGAAGTCTTCCACAAAATAAAAGCTTCAGAAGGAAAAAAAACTTTTTTTAACTGACAAAGTAACATACTGCCATGTTGCGTGCTAGGTTGCTTCAGTCGTGTCCAACTCTTTGCGACTCCATGGACTGTAGCCCGCCAGGCTCCTCTGTCCATGGAATTCTCCAGGCAAGAATACTGGCGTGGGTTGCCATGCCTTCCTCCAGGGGATCTTCCCAACCCAAGGATCAAACCGGCGTTTCTTACGTCTCCTGCATTGGCAGGTGGGTTCTTTACCACTAGTGCCCACGTGGCTGCCCTGGGGACCCCCAAACTGTGGCTGGCATGTGAAGTAAAGCCAGTCCGGTGGAGGACCAAGCCTTTAACTTGTGGGTCCGATGCCAACTCCAGGTGGTTGATGTTGACATCTATTGTAGTACACCCAGCTGGTGTCAGAGCAGCTGGGGTGGAAACAGAATAATGAGCAAATGTTTGGGTTCCTTTGTTGGTTCTACAAATATTCACTGAGCACTTATCATGTGACAGATGATCCTCTGGGCCAGGGATAAGCAAACTATGGCCCATGGGTCAACTCCAGCTGGCCACCTGTTGTTCTAACTAGCACTGTATCAGAACACACCCATGGGTTTGAGTACCATCTATGACCATTATCACTCTATAAGGCTAGAGTAGCCGTAACCATATGGCCCTCAGAGCGGAAAATATTTACTATCTGGCCCTTTGCCAATGCCGGTTGTAAACCGCAGGCACACACAAGTGAACAAACAACCGACTTCCCCTGTGGGAAGTCCACACGTCCTTTTCCAGCCAAGAAGTGAAGTCTGCCTCCTCATCCATGGAATCTGGGCGTGGCCCTCTGAATTGCTTTGGCTGACGAGGCATTAGCACATGCGACACAGCAGTGGCTGAAGAACTTACACAGTTTAAAGCCTGCTGTTCCTGGATACACATGGAGAGAGGCCCCAGCTGCCCATGCAGGGTGTGAGAGGCTAGGCTGTACCATCCCATCAGAGCCGACCCATGCCGAGCCAGATAAACCTCTGGTCAATCCACAAAATCAATAGAAACCATAAACGAGTGCTGTTACAAGTTACAAAGTACTGGGGAGGTTTGTTACACAGCAAGAGCTAGCTGATACATTTCTGAAGCATATGGTCTCATTGGCGAAAATTAACAAAAGGATGATGAAAATATCAGTTAGTGGTAAGGAGCATGAAAAGTGTTAAAATGGAGAGATGTGCCAAAGAGTAGCCAGATGGTTAATTCGGGCAGGGTGGTCACACAGGAAAGAAGTCTCAAAGGAAGTGAATTTTAAGCTGTGATGCCCTGAGTGACCAGGAGAAACAAGCCATGCAAAGATCAAGAGGCAGAGAATTCTAGAAGGTGGGCAGGGGGTGGGGTGGGGGGAAGGACAGGGATGCCCCATGCCCATCACACCCTTAATATGCACCCCAAATATCTAATACTCCTTATCTCACTAAAGTGTACCCTACCATGTATCTCGGAGTGACCATGGATGGAATATAATGAACCCACATGGGTTCACAGTCCTCTGCTATAAAAACATCAAGAACGACTTCCCAGATAAAGCCACAAGAAAGAAAGAAAACATATCTGGCCCCATTTGATATCAAACCACATAAGAAAACATGACAGCACTGAAGTCTTCCACAAAATAAAAGCTTCAGAAGGAAAAAAAACTTTTTTTAACTGACAAAGTAACATACTGCCATGTTGCGTGCTAGGTTGCTTCAGTCGTGTCCAACTCTTTGCGACTCCATGGACTGTAGCCCGCCAGGCTCCTCTGTCCATGGAACTCTCCAGGCAAGAATACTGGCCTGGGTTGCCATGCCTTCCTCCAGGGGATTTTCCCAACCCAGGGATCGAACCCAAGTCTCTTATGTTTCCAGGATCGGCAGGCGGGTTCTTTACCACTAGCAACACCTGGGCAGCCCTCAACTACTGCCAGAATGGGTCATCATTAGCATCCCTCTCTTTCCCCTCTTTCATTCAGTAGAGGTCCCAAGCATCATGGACAAGATGTTAACATCCTGGGGCTTCAATACTGGGGCCACTGCCATCAGGAAAACATCAGAGGAAGGTGCTCTATTTCTCATAACTTTGTTATGATCAGAAAAAAAACCCTTCTTCTATTTAAAGCCAGTGTCTTTTAGTGGAAGATAATGATATCCTTGCTTTATTTCAAACATGAAAAAAATAAATAAATCAAGAGGAATATGGTCATTTTCCCAATCTTACTGATAAACTGGCCCCCAAAAAGAAAAAAAAATAGCTCTGTCTGGAATGCTAAGGTGATTTATAGGAGCCTATTTTTGGTCCACAAAGCCACTTGATAGGTTTTATCAAAAACAGTGAAACAAAACGTATTGTACTTGCAGGTTTCACAAACACTCAGAGAGCAGCTCCTAGGATCCAGAATAAAGGTTGTTTTCCTTCCCACCCTCCCCACCCAGGGAAATAAAATTTCCCACCAGAACACTCTCACTTGGCTCATTTCCAAGTCTGAAGAGGGAAGATGTTTTACGTAAGCAGGTCAGCTCAAGGCCCCTCGACCTGCGTCTATCTCTGATTTGTTTTTGTGTTGTTTTGTGGCGTTTTTTTCCTCCGACCCTCAACACAAAAACCAGGAAACAGATTTTTTTTAAACTCTGTTCCAGCCCCAAGCCCCCAAAATAGCTCATCTGAGAAGCTAACAGAGTGAACAAAAAGTCTGAGGTGTGGGGAGGAAATCTGACTCACCCCTGGGGAGAGAAAACCCTGCTTTTTCTCACCCAAATAGTAGGAAATGGTTTGATGGTATTGTCCTTCAAAAGACAACAAAGCCTTGAGAATAATCTAAAATTGAGTCCTTCTTCCTTGCACTCCAGGCTAACCTCAGGACACGATCCAGATCCAGTCCGGAGAAAACATTTAAAAAATCTGAGCTCTGACCTGGGTTGTGATGGACAGTTCCATCAGTGGGAGCAATCAGGACATATAAAGGACTGTATATGAAACTAAGGACTTCTGTTTCCAATGATAAGCACAGAAAGCTTTCAATTTTTGGTATGCAAGATGCCAAAAATATTTACTATCTGGCCCTTTGCGAGAGAAAGGTCATTGACTTCCTCTCCAAAGGCCAGTGCCCAGAACCAGGAGGCCAGAATGGCATCTGAGAGACCCAACTGTGTCACTCATCAGCAGCAGCTTCCTCGCTCATAGCCAATAAACTCTAGCTTCTCACACAATTTTAACAGGTGGTGCTACCAGCCATGTTCCTTTCCCTCTTGACCACCTGCCCTCCACCCCCTCGGAACCCACACTCAGGACTCACTTGCTGGAATTCATCGTGTAGCCAGAGGGGCACTCGGGGATGCACTTGTTGTTGTGAATGACATACTGGTGGCAGCCTTGCCTCCGAGAGTTCTTGCATTTGTTGTGCAGGTCCTGGCAGAAGCTGAAGTTCACGCAGCGCCAGTCTTGGAAGTGGTAGTAAGGGGGAGGGCAGGTCTCCACGCACCTGCCGTCCAGGTAGAAGTTGCGACAGGCCACGCACTTGGTGGGGTCGTCCGGCTCTGAGCAGTTGCCCAAGCACTCGCTGTGGCAGCAGAGACCCTCAGCGGTGCAGCCATGCGACTTACAGATGGTCGGACAAACTGGAGAGAGAAAGAAAACAGCGGGTCAACGGCTTTACCCAACGCCGCGACAGCAACTCGAGAGGGGGAAGTGCAAGCCAAACAAAATCATGTCAGCCACGGCTCACTTCTACAGCACATGTTGCCTGCTGGTTAAAAATACAAATTTCTGGACTTCCCTGGTGGCTCAGCGGTAAAGAATCCGCCTGCCAACGCAGGGGACTCGGGTTCCATCCCTGGCCCAGGAAGACCCCACGTGCCAAGGATCAACCAAGTCTGCGCTCCACAACCACTGAGCCAGTGCTCTAGAGGCCGGGAGCTGCAACTACTGAGCCCGTTTGCCACAACTTCTGAATCCCGTGCGCCCTAGAGCTCACGCTCTGCAACAAGAGAAGCCTCCACAACGAGAAGCCGATGCAGAGCAACTGGAGAGGAGCCCCCGCTTGTCACAACTAGAGAAAAAGCCCACATGGCAACAAAGACCCAGCACAGCTCAAAATAAATAAATATGTGTTTTAAAAAATGCTAGTTTCTGATGTCCCAACTCCCAGGCATAACTATTACATTTCAGCCCCCAAACCAGTGATGTGCTCTTAAATGTTCAACAACTTCTTCGTTGAGTGGGGCAGAGAACCTCTTGCTTTAGAGCACTGGCCAATTTCCATGGTGTAAATATTCTCACCAGGGTCCTTTTAAGCTACCCCACCTAAAGTGACTGCATGTGAAGCCAGCGAGAGATCTACTGTAGCATAGCATTAAATAATACATCCAATCACATAGAAACAGTAGCAGCAAACAACCTCAAAAACATAATCATAGAAAAAGGTACTGAGGTGATTAGGAAGTGGTAAGTACGAAGTATTTATTTTCTTTGCTTTTTAACATAATTTAATTTTTAGTTGATGTCATTGAAATGTTAATACCAGCTTGCTGGGAGATTGGTATTGACATATATACACCAGGGCTTCCCTGGTGGTTCAGATGGTAAAGAATCTGCCTGCAATGTGGGAGACCCGAGTTCAATCACTGGGTTGGGAAGATAACCTAGAGAAGGAAATGGCAACCCATTCCAGCATTCTTGCCTGGAGAATTCCATGGACAGAGGAGCCTGGCGGGCTACAGTCCATGGGGTCTCAAAGAGTCAGACACGACTGAGTGACTAACACTTTCACTTCCACACGGTTGATATTGTATATAAAATAGATAACGAATGAGAACCTACTGTGCAGTGCAAGGAACCCTACTCAGGACTCAGCGGTGACCTTAATGGGGAAGGAAATCCATGAAAGAGGGGATATATGTATATGTATAGCTGATTTACCTTGCTGTACATCAGAAACTAACATGACACTCTAAAGCAACTGTACTCCAATAAAGTTAAAAAAAAAAAAAAGACCAGAAACAAACAGAATTACCAGCTTGTTTAAGAAGCAGTCTGCACATTTCCTGAAAATTACACAATTGCCTCGAGCAAGTCTGCTCCTGCACGTAGCTGCCATACTGGTACAGATGTATCCTGATCTACATTTTCTCCATTTTACAATGAGGAAACTGAGGTGAGAGGAGGTTAAGCAAATGTCCCAAAGGTTCATTTCTGCTTCAATGCACATTTGCTTACACTCATCCAGATATTTACAATCCCTGTGGGAACACACTGGCCACAGAGTTTGCCTTTAGGACCACCAATCTAATGGAGAAGGCATATTCATCATCTAAAAGTATAACTGCAGGGACTTTCCTGTCGTCCAGTGTTTAAGAATCCACCCTCCTATGCAAGGGATGCAGGTTCAACCCCTGGTTGGGGAATTAAGATCCCACACGTGGTAAGGCAACTAAGCCTGTGCACTGCAACTAGAGAAAGCCTGCACTCCACATTGAAGATTTAGCATAGCCCAAAAATAATAATAACAATTTTTAAATTAAAAAAAATTATAACTGCATACACAGCAAGCACTGTGCCGAAGGTAAGTGGAGGTGATATTTCTGCTGTGACCTGCAGGAGGTGATGAACGGGGCAGAGACTGTGCTTGCATTCCTATCCTGGAGTTTCTTATTTGATGCAACTGAACTTGTCCACTGAAGGCTGGACTCCACTCTGGTGTTCTCCAGCAGCTTGTAACACACTCTTTCTCCTGACATCTCACTACTCATGACTTCATGATTGCTCCTGATTTTGGTCCCTCAGTATCTGGCCTGGACCTCCATGACCAGCCTTCCCTTCCCAGGCTGCCAGCAAATTTGTCCCTGGACGGATGGTTCCTCTGAGGCCACAAGCAGAGCCTGTTTCCCAAGGATGCCTTCTTTGCTCACTTCCTGCATAGCTCAAAACACGGTTTGGAAGCTGGGACATGTTCTTCACCCCCAAATCCCCAGGCCCCTTGAGAGCTGCGGTGAACAATACGGCCCACGTGGACACCACCGACCAGACCCAGGGAACTTAAAAGGCCTCTGAAGCTACATTTCCACGTAAGGATTGGTGTCGAGTGGAACTTTCTGCGTTGACGGAAATCATCTCGATCAGCGCTGTCCAACACGGTAGCCACTTCCCTGTGGCTGCTGAGTGTGGTTAGTGCAACGAGGAACAAATTTTTTTTAATTGTGGCAAAATATGTGTAAAACTGACCATCTTAACCAATTGTAAGCACACAGCTCAGTAGCATTAAGTACATTCACATTGTTGTACAACTATCCCCAGAACGTTCTTGCCTTTCCAAACTGAAACTCTGTCTCCAAGAAACACTGATCCCCCCTTCCCCTCCCCCAGCCCCTGACCCTCACCATCTACTTCCTGTCTCTACAGATCTGACTCCTCTCAGGACCTCCAATGAGCAGAATCAGACAGTGTGTGTCCTTTTGTGTCTGGCATATTTCACTGAGCATCATGTCATTAGGGCTTCCCTGGTGGCTCAGTGGTAAAGAATCCACCTGCCTATGCAGGAGATGCAGTTTCGATCTCTGGCTTGAGAAGAACCCCTGGAGAAAGAAATGGCAACCCACTCCAGTATTCCTGCCTGGGAAATCCCATGGACAAAGGAGCCTGGTGGGGCTTCAGCCCATGGGGTTGCAAAGAATCAGACACGACTTAGTGGCTAAACCACAACACGTCCTCAAAGTTGATCCATGTTATAGCAGGTGTCAGAATCTCCTTTTTAACAGAGGCAGAATTCCCACTGTCAGCATCACCAATAGGTGCTTGCGTGCGTGTGTGCTAAGTCACTTCAGTCGTGTACAACTCTTTGTGATCCTATGGACTGTAGTCCACCGGGCTCTTTGGTCCTTGGGATTCTCTAGGAGTGGGAGTGGGTTGCCATGCCCTTCACCAAATGGGTGCTTGACTACAACTTAAAAAGGAGGAAAATGTCTATACACAATAAGATGAGCTTGAATAACTGTAGCTGCTGAAATTTATACAATGAAAATCAATCCTATAGGTCAAGAAGGGGGAAAATGCAAGCTTTGCAAGGGGTTCTTAGGCAAATTTTTCTGGAATTTTAATTCTTCCCAAGATTGTCACAATCCAAAGATGGGGGGGAAGCCATTGAATAAGAGATGTGAAGGGACTTCCCTGGTAGTTAAGAATCTGTCTGCCAGTGCAGGCGACACAGGGTTGATCCCTGATCGGGGAAGGTTCTATATGCCTCGAGGCAACCAAGACAGTGCACCACCTCTACTAAAGCCTATGCACCCCAGAGCCCACGCTCTGCAACGAGAAGCCATGGCAATGAGAAGCTTGTGCACTGGAGCTAGAGAGTAGCCCCCACTCACTGCAACTGGAGAAAGCTCGTGAAGCAGTGGGGACCCAGCACAGCCAAGAATAAATAAATAAATATTATTATTTTTTTAATTACATGGGAAATTTGGAGCATCTGTGCCCAGGTGCATCATCTGATTTTTCTAGTGCAACGAGGAACAAATTTTTTTTAATTGTGGCAAAATATGTGTAAAACTGACCATCTTAACCAATTGTAAGCACACAGCTCAGTAGCATTAAGTACATTCACATTGTTGTACAACTATCCCCAGAACGTTCTTGCCTTTCCAAACTGAAACTCTGTCTCCAAGAAACACTGATCCCCCCTTCCCCTCCCCCAGCCCCTGACCCTCACCATCTACTTCCTGTCTCTACAGATCTGACTCCTCTCAGGACCTCCAATGAGCAGAATCAGACAGTGTGTGTCCTTTTGTGTCTGGCATATTTCACTGAGCATCATGTCATTAGGGCTTCCCTGGTGGCTCAGTGGTAAAGAATCCACCTGCCTATGCAGGAGATGCAGTTTCGATCTCTGGCTTGAGAAGAACCCCTGGAGAAAGAAATGGCAACCCACTCCAGTATTCCTGCCTGGGAAATCCCATGGACAAAGGAGCCTGGTGGGGCTTCAGCCCATGGGGTTGCAAAGAATCAGACACGACTTAGTGGCTAAACCACAACACGTCCTCAAAGTTGATCCATGTTATAGCAGGTGTCAGAATCTCCTTTTTAACAGAGGCAGAATTCCCACTGTCAGCATCACCAATAGGTGCTTGCGTGCGTGTGTGCTAAGTCACTTCAGTCGTGTACAACTCTTTGTGATCCTATGGACTGTAGTCCACCGGGCTCTTTGGTCCTTGGGATTCTCTAGGAGTGGGAGTGGGTTGCCATGCCCTTCACCAAATGGGTGCTTGACTACAACTTAAAAAGGAGGAAAATGTCTATACACAATAAGATGAGCTTGAATAACTGTAGCTGCTGAAATTTATACAATGAAAATCAATCCTATAGGTCAAGAAGGGGGAAAATGCAAGCTTTGCAAGGGGTTCTTAGGCAAATTTTTCTGGAATTTTAATTCTTCCCAAGATTGTCACAATCCAAAGATGGGGGGGAAGCCATTGAATAAGAGATGTGAAGGGACTTCCCTGGTAGTTAAGAATCTGTCTGCCAGTGCAGGCGACACAGGGTTGATCCCTGATCGGGGAAGGTTCTATATGCCTCGAGGCAACCAAGACAGTGCACCACCTCTACTAAAGCCTATGCACCCCAGAGCCCACGCTCTGCAACGAGAAGCCATGGCAATGAGAAGCTTGTGCACTGGAGCTAGAGAGTAGCCCCCACTCACTGCAACTGGAGAAAGCTCGTGAAGCAGTGGGGACCCAGCACAGCCAAG